ATGTCTATGTATATTGTGTAGATGGAGTTTTAATCATAAATTGTAAACCTAGGTCTTTTCATGTGCTTATGGTTGCTTTACATGATAATATTTCACCTGTCCTGTTTATGTAACATTTTAAAAATCAGCAAAAGGGTTATATAAATAAAATTTAGTATGAAACAAAAGGCAAAAAGCTATTATGTACCCAGTTTAGTCCTATTCAGTGTCTACTCGGTGCTTCTTGGCTTGTCTCTGGTATTCATTAAATGGAGCATCTCTTGTCACTGTCCAGCAATAGTCTGCAAGCATTGATGGGCTCCATTTGCCCTGATGGCGTTTCTCCATTGTTGCAATGTCCTGGTGAAATCGCTCGCCGTGCTCGTCGCTCATTGCTCCGCAGTTCGGTGGAAAAAAATCTAGATGAGAGTGCAAAAAATGTATCTTTAGTGACATGTTGCAACCAAGGCTTTTGTATGCCTTGAGGAGGTTTTCCACCAACAACCTGTAGTTGTCTGCCTTGTTGTTTCTGAGAAAATTTATTGCCACTAACTGGAAGGCTTTTCATGCCGTCTTTTCCTTGCCACGCAGTGCATGGTCAAATGCATCATCTTGAAGAAGTTCACGAATCTGAGAACCAACAAAGACATGTTCCTTTATCTTAGCTTCACTTAACCTTGGAAATTTTCCACGGAGGTACTTGAAAGCTGCTTGTGTTTTGTCAATGGCCTTGACAAAGTTCTTCATCAGACCCAGCTTGATGTGTAAGGATGGTAACAAAATCTTCCTTGATTCAACAAATGGTGGATACTGAACACTTTTCCTCCCAGGCTCCAATGACTGTCGGAGTGGCCAATCTTTCTTGATGTAGTGGGAATCTCTTGCACGACTATCCAATTCGCAGAGAAAACAGCAGTACATTGTGTATCCAGTCTGCAGACCAAGCAAGAGAGCAACAACCTTCAAATCACCACAAAGCTGCCACTGATGTTGGTCATAGTTTATGCATCTCAAAAGTTGTTTCATGTTGTCATAGGTTTCCTTCATATGGACTGCATGACCAACTGGAATTGATGGCAAAACATTGCCATTATGCAGTAAAACAGCTTTAAGACCATGGTTAGGGATATTCCAAAGAAAAATCATTTAGTTTCACAGGGGATATTATCCCATAGAATAGTTGCCTCGTTAGCTTCTCCCACATTTAATCAGACATGTCCCTTGCAGTTGGGCAATGTTTAAGCAGAAATATTTCTATTGTCTTAGGGAGAGAAATGAATGATTCCTCATATTATCTATTTTGCTCCTTTGTAGGCTCATATCTCAATAAGAAGCCACATATTGAAATGACTACTGGGGGCGGGGAAAGGGGGAGTGCAACACACCAAGTATACAGAATGGAATTATAATTAAGGCTCTAAATGGGTCAGGTCTACCATTCTATTAAAACAACCCTTTTCATTGTAAACTGACTCTTTATGGTCATTTGGATCTAGACTGTTCTCAGTGGTACCAGATGACAGAACAAGGAGTAATGGTCTCACGTTGCAGTGGGGGAGGTTTACATTGGATATTAGGAAAAATGTTTTCAGTAGGAGGGTGGTGAAGCACTGGAATGGGTTACCTAGGGAGGTGGTGGAATCTCCTTCCTTAGAGGTTTTTAAGGTCAGGCTTGACAAAGCCTTGGCTGGGATGATTTAGCTGGGGATTGGTCCTGCTTTAAGCAGGAGGTTGGACTAGATGACCTCCTGAGGTCCCTTCCAACCCTGATATTCTATGATTTACATAATTTTATATCTCTTTATATACTATATATATATATATATATGCTGGAACTCCTCCATAATCAGCCAAACTTCTGACTGTGCAGGATTAGCCCATTACTGATTTACAGCTTTCATTACGTCAAGGTCAGTGTGAAAACGAAATGTATGGTAGGACTAAATAAATGAGTGTAGTCACATGGGGCAATATAACATTAAGAGAACCTTTGTTTCCATCAGTGGAAATGTTTTAGCATAGGAGTATGTTTAATTTTATCTTTACCTTTTGACACATCAAGGCAGTTATTTCAGTTCTTAAAAAGAAGACAGAGGGCATATAATAATATACATTTGAAAATTATCATTCATATTGAATCCTTAAATTTCAAATATAGCACATTGCATTCAGGATCAGAACTGCTTCATTGCTAAAATGCTTGGGTAACAGAAGGGTAATCTTTAGGTCTATCAAGTGATTAAAAAATTAATCGCGATTAATCGCAGTTTTAATAGCACTGTTAAACAATATTAAAAAAAACATTTATATATATAATTTTGGCGTTTTCTCTATTTTCAAATATAGGGTCAGGACTGGGGATCTGGGCTTCAGCCCCTCCCTGGGGGCATGAGACTGGGGACTTCAGCCCTGCTTGGGGTTTCAGCCTCCCTTGGGGCACGGGGCTCCGGGCTTCAGCCCAACGCGGGGTGTCAGCCCCCCCTCAGGGCTTCAGGCTTCGGGATCCAGCCCCCCGGCCTCCTGGGAAGATGCAGGCTGGGGCACTCACACCCCCAGTGCCGATGCCTCCCACCTCATCCACAGGTATATGATTAATGCATTAAAAACAATAATGTGTTAATTTTGCTTTCAGTTAATCACAGGTGTTAACTGTGATTAATTGACAGCCCTAGTAATCTTTCAAATTCTCTGTACCTTATAACTAAGGTTCTATTTCATTTGCAATATTGTGAAAATTGCAGATTATGCAATATTAGGCTTCCACCCCAATTTTGTTTTAAATTAGATTACTTTGCACAGTTCACAATTTTGCATAATTTTGAGGTTTGTAACACACACTGATCTTGGACAGCTCTGGGCAGGGCCATAACCAGGCAGGGGCAAGCAAAGCAGCCACCCAGGGTACAAAGATAGGGAGGGGGAGAAATGAGGTAGAAAAATGATGGCAAAAAAGTAGGGGATAGAATCCTGCAGCAGACATGGTATTGCCACCCTTACTTCTCTGCTACTGCTGGTGGCAGCACTGTCTTCAGAGCTGGGTGGCTGGAGCATGGTGGTGAGAATAGAGAAATTCCTGAGACTCCATTTTACATTCCTGATCTCCATTTTGCATAAGCAAGAGTCACTCCACGATTGGAAGCTACAGGTCACATGATATTTCAAAAGGAGGGGATAGGTCAGCATATCATAACAACTCTGAGGTAAACAATGGCTTCAAGCTAAAAATAGAACGGGCAGTGAGCATGTGTCTGAATGTTTGGAATGTTGGTACTGAGCATTTGCAGTAAAGATCAGAACGATATTAGCAAAAGCATCTAGAAAGTTCTGACAGGACAGTATAAAGGTCAGTGTGCCAGTGGGCAGCAGACAGTGCTGACAGGGTACGTGAAGAAGAGGGTTAAGAGCAGACAGAGTGCTGACAGCAGAAGAAGCAGAAGAGTGGAGTAGAGTTGACAGCTGTGGAGGTGGAGAAAGATGAAGTAATTGAGAAAGCAGACACAGCAGAAGAAGGAGTCCTATGTCAGCAGACAGAGTAAGCTTACCAGTTATAATAATAGTATAGTGTTAGTGTGTGTGTATGTGGGATAATAAAGATGTATGTATGTTAATTGTGAAAAGGAGTTGACTATGTAAGACTTAAGGCACATTTTAAAACTGCTTTCAGCACCCTGACTGATCACGGTTTGCAAGGCACAGCCACTTAGGATCATCACAAACTGTAAGGCAATATAGTTTGGGGTGCTCTTTAGCTTATAAAGGATTTGTGCTTTATAATATCAGTAAGGGGATTCTTATTATTTGATTGATACTTTGTTATTGTATTAGGGATTCTTATGAACTGCACCAATAAAGAGGAAAGAATGTTGTTTTTGTGTCAATCATTTATCAGAAGGCTGTATCCATGTCCTCCGGGTATTTCTTTAGCCACCTCTGGAGACCAATACCTCCGGAAAACAGATTGGTTGTAAAAGTGCTGTTTTGAGGGAAACCCTTGGTAAACCTGGGAGAGGACAATAGAACAGTAATTTTATGGGGCCACCCTAATTCTGTTTTCAGGGTAATGGCGGCTCTGCCTTCAGAACTGGGCTTCTAGTCAGCAGTTGCTCCTCTCCAGCTGCCCAGCTCTGAAGGTAGCACCATGGCCAGGAGCAACAGAGCAGTAAGGGTGGCAATACTATGCCTGCTGTAGGGCTCTATCCCTACTATTTTTTCTCATAATTTTTCGGATTCATTTTTCCACGTCCTTACCCCCAGCTTTGTATCTAGAGCAGCTTCCCCTCTTGCCCCACCCTGGTTATGGCCCTGTAGTTGCACCAAATTGTCTGGTTATCAAAAAAATTGCAGGCATAACGTAATAGTTGAGTGTTTATATCATTCCAGCAATTGTTTTCTTAAACAAATAGGTCTACTGTGGCTTTTCCAAGTTACTGCTATTAATAAAGTTCCATTATTACTTTTCCAGGATGTTCCATGTCTTGTCTGGAACTCAGACACAATTATTTGAAGATCATTCTGTGATTCAGGTAGTGTCTTACTTATTATTTAAATTGATTATATGTAGGAGTACATTTTTTAACTTTTGTTTTAGTCTGATTTTTCAGTGCAATTCTGTTATTAATAATGTAAACACAGCACATGTCATTATTACTGATCTTTCTCTGATGTTGCTCCTTTTTTTCCTTCTTTCTTCCTTCCCTTCCTCCCTTATCAACCTACACCTGTCAGAAATAATGGAATTGTTATGTTGTTAGTGTTTAGTATAATACAAGAGGCCTTGGACAGCATCTACTACATTTATCTAGGATTAATGTGAACAGCTTTCATTTAATTTACACTTTGAGATGCTAAATTAGGCTTTCAGTGTTTGGAAAGATATTAGGCTCTGTTCAGTTGCATCATACAATTCTGTACATTTTATTTATCAAAGTGTTGTGATCTAACTGCCTGTGTGGACACTGGCTGGCTCAAAGTAAAAAGTACCTAGTTTACATTAACGTAATACTGGTTGAAAGAGGACTAAATTAATGCAGCTGGGTACCTTTTAGTTTGGGATAAGAGCATCCACATGGGGCTGATAGATCCCTATACTTTGGTGTGCTCTGCAGTTCATACTCTTGTAGTCTGCACTGTGGTGCAGTATAGACAAGCACTCAGGAAAATTATAAACATTAACTAAGGGTGTGAATTTAAAGTGGATTAGTTAAACTGATTTAAGACTACTTAACTGAATATCCACACAGGGAGTTAAAGTGGTTCATTTAATCCACTTTAAATTCACACCCTTATTTAATTTAGATTAATTTTTCTGAGTGTCTCCATGTAGACAATTCCTAAATTATTGAAGATTAGGTACACTGGGGAGGAAGGAATGGTGAAATGAGCCACTTTCCCTGCTTCACAATATGACACTCCCACAAGGACATAGAAGCCCATGATCCCTGAACTCAGTGCAGAAGGGGTTTCTAGCACTGCTAGTAGAATCAGTGCCTCAGGAGGAGGAATATGGTCACACCCAGTGATGTAGATATTTTCTAGGGGAATTCAGACTACATTTGCTGTTGACAATGTAGAAGTGGATTATCTAGACATCTGAGGAACGGGGAAAAGAAAGTCCTGGTCAGCTTCAAACACCCACAGAGGTCAGGGCAAATTATTACTGAAAAAGGACATTAGCTGGGGTATTAAGGCTTATTCTGTCAGTCTCTTCGCTGGGAAGAGGTGCTGACGATAAACTGTAGCTGATCTGAAGAATCTGGCTGTGGCATAAACTAATTTAAAGAGGAGCTGTGGGGAGCTCTCTAAGAACTCCCTATTTCGTGGGCAGGTCATTCTCCATTTTTCTTTATCTTCCACTTTGTTTGTCTTACTCACCTCTCCTTCTCTCACTCAGCTTGTTTCAGAGAAGGGGAGGAACAGCAGACAGGTAGAACAAGTTGTTACACATTCAGTAACCTTTCTGGGAAGGGAGTCTCATTGTCTCAGTGACTTTATCTCTTCTTTAATCTCTGATCAGAGCTCCTCCTCAGAGGAAATGGGTGCCCCTCTCTACTTATATTTACATGTAATATTTTGTAATTTCCAAATAACATGCAAAGAATCAAGTTTGATTCTTTCTCACGTTATCACTGCATCAGAATGATATCAGGAGCACAATAGAGAAAAGTATTCCAGGATTCATAAAAGGGGCATGTATCAACAGATTGAGCAGCTGTCAAAAGTTTGACCTAAGTTATCCTGATTACTAGTGATGGTGATGAAAAGCAGGGAATCCAGCTTGATTTTCTGATGAGTTTGCAGAGCTGGAAAGTAGGGTAAAAAATCACCGTTACTCACAAATTAAGCAAATTTTATCCAGACACAACTAACATGAAACTTCCAGGAATCCATAGTTTAGAGTCACTTTTCAGAATAGATAGGCAACTTCAAAATGTGTATCTGGACAGAAACATTTTAAGAGTGATGGTGGTGGGCAAGGGCAGTGTTCAGGGGGCAAATGCCACCTTCCCTTAATCATGCAGTGTTCTCTTCTGGAGTGCAGCCGCCCCCATTTTCCTTGGGAGATTTACACACACACACACACACACACACACACACACACACACACACTGAGCCCTTGATCTCTGCATTTATCTATCTATTAATATTCAACCTGCATGTATAGGAAAAAATCACATGAAAGGGGAGATTTTTAAAGGCACAAAAACAGACTTCCAACTCCCCACTGAAGTTCCCTGCGAGTTGGGCACCTCATTATTCTTGGTACCATTGAAAATCTGTCTACAATGTTAGAATATAGAAAGTTAAATGAAACTGAGGCGAGCACTGCTTTCTTTCACTCAAGCACACATTTTAAAATATATTCATGCATACAATACATGCCATGAATTCATTTGTGCATTACATTTAAGGCAGCACCTCCAGATGCAGTGCTTCTGGCATGCAAAGGTGACTTACACGGAAAAGGAGTTACTGTGTATTACTGAAATTTATTGCAATGCCAGTTGACAAGCAATGACACCAACAAGATTTTTGGAAGAAACGTGCCCAAGACCATCGTCAACACATTGCCTTTTTAAAAAAAAGTTATTTGTATGCCACGCATCAAACCATACTACGTTTAGTTTTATTCCAGCCTTATCTAATCAATCAGTACTTGAGACTGAATGCCAAGTACTGTTGTTAGCACAAATTAATGCATCACAGCTGTTCCAACAGCTTTCAGCTTAGAGATGTTAAAATGCATTATACAGTCAAACACATTTTGGGGGGGGAGGGTGTAATTTTAGAAATATATCTTACATGAATATATTTTTTTCCAGAATTGATGTTGGAGATCAGTGTTGTTGTTGTTGTTTTTTCCCTTTTGGTTTGAAATAAAGGAAACCTGAATATTATATTGTTTCTACCAAATGGAAACAAACAAACGAACAAACAAACAGGAAAAAAGCATTTGTTACATTTCTCTATTACACACTGGATGTCACAAAACATGGCTAATTCAAAAGTGACACATTTGAAAGTGTATTTGAATTATGTAATAATTGGTAGCTGGCAGATGATAATGCTTTCAGATTATTTAGGAAAAAATGTATATAAGCATGAGCTGTTTCTACTATAAGGTGCTTTGTACATACTGGGTAAAATCCTGGTCCCATTGAAGTCAATGGATTTTACCACTGACTTAAATTAGGCCAGTATTTCACCTGTGCCTCATGGTATGAAGTAAAGATGTAATGAATCTTCTTAATTTTTGATATATGGGATGCCAAATATCTGATATACCATATATTTCATCACATAGCAACTACACAGTTGTAAAGTAGGACATGGGCCTTCCCGTGCGCCCCTCCGCCCTCATTCTCACTCTCACTCTCACAGGTGTCTTATTTATTCCAACAGAGCCTTAAAATAAAAATAAATAAATAAAAAATAAAACTACGATACCCAGCATATTTGTTTCAAAGGACTGATCCTGCAAAAATTGCACACATGCTTAACTGTAGGCACATGAATAATCTTTCTAGTGGAAAAACTCATATGCTTATTGTTAAGACCATGTGTAAGTCTTTTTTAGAATTAGGGCCATAATTAGCAATGTTAAAAAATAAACAAATTAGGACACTAAAATTATACACTACACAGAGTTTTGTATGACAAAGTTTATAACTTGGCTGCATAATTCAATAGTGATATTTAGTTTTAAATAACTATAAAATCATATATATATTTATCCCATACAAACAGATAAATAATTTATTTGTTTGATTGATTGATCTATGCTTAAATAACAATAAAGCTCATCTATATACATAATCCCCTTTGAAAACATTACATGAAGTGAGACATAATCCCAATCCCAGATGACCCTCCCTAGGCTCTAACTCCTAATTTGCTATATTACAGTGAATCATTACTCTTTCTTTCAGTCTGTCAATTTCTCATGGCTGTGACACTTCACATCCAACTCAAGTTAACTTTATGTTCTATCACATACTGAAAGTCTCTTCCAGGCACAGTTCCTTAACCTTGTCCAATACCATGTAGGCATATATATATTTCCACTGCAATAATCGTATTGCTGTCACTCCTCTCTCATTCCCTCTCTACTGTTTTGGTCTTTTAGCCTTCATTTTACCACCTAATATATGGATGGATCTCTACTGACATAGACCCCCTATGATTTAAACAGGCACCACATGGGACCAATAATTCACCTGTATAGACTTCACTAAAAATTTGGGGCATTAAAATATAAGATTTTCAAGCAGGGAATTTATTTGTTTTGGTTCTGATCAAAAGCCCACTGTAATCAATAAGAGTCTTTCAAGTGACTTCATGGGCATTGAATCAATCCTTTTACACGTACTAAAAGATGTATAGGTCATTTGCAGATATTGCAACTTGGCAAAAGCGTATTTGAAGTACCTTACCATCCTTCTGCTGAGAGTGATAAAGTTTGTCACAAAGGGAGTTTTTATAACTCTAATATTACAGTGAAGAGTATAGTATAAAATGGTAGAGATAGAGAGAGTATCTAATATTGCAGCTGTCCATACTACAGTAGCTGCAAGCTTTCATTATGTTATTTTAATTGACTTGGACAACCACATTCACAATATTCTTTGGCAACTGGCAATTTATCAAAGAAGGACAGGAATATTTATGAAATAGTTTGTGACAGACCCAGACCAGTGGGGTACAGGAGTCTGGTAGAAGGCAAATATACTGGTCACTGGATGAGTAGTTGTCTGTTCCCTGAGTGACCAGAGCAGAGGCTGCAGTAGAGTAATCAGGAACCTGCTAGAACCAGTTAAGGCAGGCAGGCTAATTAGGACACCTGGAGCCAATTAAGAAGAAGCTGCTAGAATCAATTAAGGCAGGCTAATCAGGGCACCTGGGTTTTAAAAAGGAGCTCACTTCAGTTAGTGGTGTGAGTGGGAGGAGCTGGGAGCAAGAAGCTGAGAGTGTGTACTGCTGGAGGACTGAGGAGCACAAGTGTTATCAGACACCAGGAGGAAGGTCCTGTGGTGAGAATAAGGAAGGTGTTTGGAGGAGGCCATGGGGAAGTAGCCCAGGGAGTGATAGCTGTCATGCAGCTGTTACAGGAGGCATTATAGACAGCTGCAGTCCACAGGGCCCTGGGCTGGAACCTGGAATAGAGGGTGGGCCTGGGTTTCCCCCAAACCTCCCAATTGATCTGGACTGTGGGTTTTTCCAGAGGGGAAGGCCTCTGGGCTGTTCTGCAACCCACATGGTGAATCTCTGAGGCAAGAAAATCTGCCAATAAGCGCAGGACCCACCAAGATAGAGGAGGAACTTTGTCACAAGTTGTTCCAATGTGTGGTTGCAGTCAAAAGCCTCATAGTTCTTGTGAGTGCCTTGATTACCATGTGTACTGTTGACACCAGGAAATATTGTGTGGTGTTTTGTGTCCCTGTATCATCAGTAAATGAAGGGTATTTCATGGTTTTATTGGTAATATTACTTGCAGTGGTACTTCTTCAGACATATAGTATCAGGAATAACAGGATGGCAAAAAAACCCTCACTTTATTTAATTAATTTATGATGAAACTTCATGAACCCAGCGAAATCACTTAACATAGGATCCAAAGACATTAACTAGTAAAGCCGAGTCTGCCAGATAAGCCATGACTCCAGAACATTAGCAGGGTCATAGTAGGTCGGACCAATGGTCCACCTAGCCCAGTATTCTGCCTTCTGACAGTGGCCAGTGCCAGATAATTCAGAGAGAAGAACAGAATAGGACAATTAAGAATGATCCATCCCCTGTGGTCCAGTCCCAGCTTCCGGCAGTTGGAGGATTAGGGAAACACAGAGCATAGGGTTGCATCCCTGACCATCTTGGCTACTAGCCATAACTTATCTAATACTTTTTTGAACCCAGTTATACTTTTGGTTCTGACAACATCCCATGGTAATGAATTTCATAGGTTGACTGTGCATTGTGTAAAAAAGTGCTTCCCTTTGTTTGTTTTAAATATGCCACCTATTCATTTCCTTGGGTGATCCCAGTTTTGTTATCTGAAGGGGTAAATAACACTTCCTTGTTCACTTTCTCCATGCCTTTCATGATTCTTTGTCATCTCTTTTTCTAAGATGAACAGTTCCAGTCTTTTTATTCTCTCCTCATATGTAAGCTGTTCCATCCTTCTTGTTTTGTTGCCCTTTTCTGCACTTTTTCTAATTCTAATATATTGTTTTTTGAGATGAGATGACCAGAACTGCACACAGTGTTCAAGGTATGGGCATATCATGAATATACAGAGTGGCATTATGATATTTTCTGTTTTGTTATCTATGCCTTTTCTAATGATTCCTAGCATTCTGTTAGGGTTTTGTTTTATTTTTGTTGATGTTGCACATTGTGTGGATGTTCAGAGTACAATCCACAATGACTCCATGGTAACATCTAATTTACCCATAATTTTGTATGTATAATTGGGAATATTTTTTTCCAACATGCATGACTTTGCATTTATCAGCATTCAATTTCATCTACCAATTTGTCACCCAGTCACACATTTTAGTGCCTACTCTTTGTAACTCTTCACAATCAGCTTTGTAATTAACAATTTTGAGTAATTTTATATCATCTTCAAATTTTGCCACCTCACTGTTTACATGTTTTCCATATCATTTATGAATATGATGAACTGCACAGGTCCAAGAACAGATCCTTGGGGGACCCCACTATTTACCTCTCTCCATTGTGAAAAATGACCTTTTATTCTTATCCTTTAACCAGTTACTGATCCAGGAGAGGGTCTTCCTTCTTATCACCTGACTTTACATTGCTTAAGAGCCTTTAGTGAGGGACTTATCAAAGGCTTTCTGAAAGTCCAAGTACATCATAATGACTGGATCAACCTTGTCCACATTCTTGTTGCCACCCTCAGTGAATTCTAGTAGATTCATGAGGCATGGTTTCCCATTACAAACAATGTGTTGACTCTTCCCCAACATATCTTATTTATCTATGTGACTGATAATTCAGTTCTGTACTACCATTTCAACCAATTTTCCTAGTACTGAAATTGAGCTTACCAGCCTGTAATTGCATGATCACCTCTGGAGCCTTTTTTTAAAAAAATGAGTTACATTAGCTTCCCTCTAGTCATCTGGAACAGAGGCTGATTTAAGTGAGAGATTACATACTACAGTTTGTAGCTCTGCAATTTCATATATTTAAATTCATTCAAAACTCTTGGGGGAATATCATCTGATCCTGGTGACTTATTACTGTCAAATTTATCAATTTGTTACAAAACTTCCTCTATTTCCACCTTAGTCTGGGACAAGCCTTTAGATTAGTCACCGAAGAAGAATGGCTCACATGTGGCGGTCTTCCCCATATCCTCTGAAGTGACAACTCATGCAAATAATTCATTTAGCTTCTTCCCAAAGGCCTTGTCTTCCTTGAGTGCTCTGTTAGCACCTTGCTCATCCCGAGACCCCACTGACTATTTGGCAGGCTTTCTGTTCCTGATGTATTTTTAAAAAATATTTTTTTTGTGTCTTTTGCTAGTTGCTCTTCAAATTCTTTTTTTTGGCCTGCCTAATTATAATTTTACACTTGACTTGCCAGAGTTTGTGCTCCTTTCTATTTTCCTCACTCATATTTTTAAAGAATGTCTTTTTGCCACTAATCACCTCTTTTCCTCTGCAATAGAAGATTCTGTAATATATAAGCAGTGACAGGAAAAAAAACCTGATTGGGAATCAAGAAGTGGGAGGGAAGTAATTTTCCTGAACCTTAAGAAAGTTTTGAGCTCAGTTAGGTGTTTGAACTGAGGTTAGAATCTAATAGGCAGGAACAGGGAAAGGGATGGACTTTGAAGCCTTAAGGAAGGAATACTTAGAGTAGGGTTATTTTAGGGATGGTTAATGCTTGCTTTGATTCACATCTTGTGGGCATCAGGAGTGAGTCTGTAGAATGAAGAAAAGGGAGAGAATGTAGAGAAGGTAGCAAACCAGGAAGGATATAATGTGCATAAAATTTCAGAGGCAAGTTTTTGGTTATTGGATAGTATTCAGCTGAAAAAATTTCAAAATATATGGCTATGTGCAACCTCAATCAGCATCTGATGAACAGGACTACTTGAATTCAGAGGACATTAAGGGGGAAGGGAAATTGTTGTCATACCATCCCCTGCATGGAATACTTATTTTGTCATTCTGAGGCTTAAATTGATTGATTGATTGAATATTCCCTACTCTTATTTCTAGGGTATGTGCTTGAGATTGCACAAGGGCTTAGTTTAGCATAGCCAGAACAATCTTTTCCAATCTCCCTCCAAAATGGACCAGCTGCAGAAGGGAGAAATAAACTATCATCAATAGCACTGCCTTGATCAATGTGTAAAAAGGGCCTATTTGATAGAGCACTGGGCTTGCCAGTCCTCCCGGGTTGTCCTGGAGTCTCCAGGAATTAAAGATTAATCTTTAATTAAAGATTATGTCTTGTGATAAAACCTCCAGGAACAAGTCCAACCAAAACTGGCAACTTTACAAAGCACATAAATGTAAAACAAGCTCCTCTGCTCCACTATTGCTATGGTCACCATGTAACTGTTTCTGTTTATTTCATCTTTAAATCACTAAGGACACTGCTGTCTGAGATTGACAGTCCTTCACATTAGTTTTACAGCAGATTGTTGTAGAGCAGATGCACAGAGTGGCTCTGATTGAAAGCTCATTGAAGTCAAGTGGAGTCATTTCATTGACTACAGTGGCATTTGGATCAGGCCCCTTGCAGCTCAATAAGTGGCCTGATATTTTTGAAATTTGTAGAATGCACAATTTCAGTGAAATGTACATATATGTATGTCCTTTGCTGCATCAGAGCTTGGAGAAAGGAATTTCTCTTAAAACATGCATGATAGACATGGTCATTGAAGAAAAATAGCAAAGAGAAAATACTTGTTTGATTCTTATTGAGGGAAAGTGTGGTTGTGCCTCATAAATTGGATATAATGTATAAAAATAATTCAGCCATGGTGAAAATGACCCATATAACACTGTCAAGGTCAGTGATCCCTAGAGGGATCTGCTGACTAAGTGCTGATCACACTAGTTAACATTGCCTATGGGAAGCTTTAACGTATGCACCTAATTTTTTTTCAAGTGAAAAAATGAAACACATAACTTGCTAACAGTAGTTGGACTTATTCCTTTCTTAAATTTTCTGTTTCCTTTTGTCTTTTACCTTGCAGTTACTTCTCAGTGTGAGAGAAAAGATCCTTTGAAGTTATGTCAGTTCATCTCACAGCTCAGCACAAAACCCAGAAGCAACCAACCACAGACAGATATTATTTTGTTTATTATGAATGATTGTTTGCATAAGGATGGGAGAAAATTCAGTGTAACTCTTCTTCCCACCCACCCCATATTTTTAAAATCTTTGATCATTTTAACATTTTTAAATTAACCCCCCAAAAAAACTTTTATCAATGCAATTTCACATCCTCCGCCCCATATGCAACTATAATCTCATACATGCACTTTTTGATGTATTAGCCTTGAACATAGAAATTCACTTAAGGTCCATACAGATTAGTTTATAAAGACACACTTTGTCATACTGAGTATCTAGATGCTGGGTGGAATGGTGTGTTATGGAGATATTTTTATGTATGTCAAGTTATAAATGTAAACCAGGGTTTGACAGAGCTCTCTCCTGTCCTCTGATTAAAGCAGGAAAATACCTCAGGAGCAGACCATATTCTCATATAGGCACACCTGCAGAGCTGAAGACCTGGGCATCCTTCAATGGCAATGCCATGCACACCATTCACCAGAAACTAGTAACAATAATGGATTAATTTACAATGTATATGTTGTCTTAATACTTGGAAATAAAGTTTAATATTGCCTTTCTTTCCATCAGTGATGTAATTAGGCCAAGATTCTTGCAGCAGTTTGGCTTAATTATGTCATTTTGCCTTTTCACATGACTATACCAAACTATAAAAAGGTAAAGATGGGAATAATTTGGCATTTTGCCAAAACCAGAACTCTTTAACTCGCTAAGGCCTTTATTTAGCAAGGTAGTAAAGCAGGTGGATAACTGACTTTAATGGGGCTAAGCTGGTGGGTATAGTTAAGTATGTACTTAAATACATTGCTTAATCAGGGCCCAAGGACCTTTTTTCCAGAAAGGTGCTGAGTACCTTCTGCCCCATGAGAATGCTATTTGGAGTTCAGGGTGTTCAGTACTTGGCTGTTTCCCAAAAGCTGCAAGAAAATTAAATCAGCTCCCACACACACGTTCAAACTGTTTAGATATTATTCAGAAAAATGGTAAAAAATAATTTAAAAAATCTTAAATTTATCTCAAAAGCTTTGAATTTGGACACACAAAATGGGAAAAATCTAGTGTATGTATAAATAAAGAGAATTTTTTTAAGAGTTAACCAAACATTTGCCTTAAAAGAAATGCATTATGAACAGATAATTTAGGATTTACCTGACCAGTCAGTGAATGTTTGCATCACAAAAATATTTTAATTAAGATTCAGAGTAGCAGCCGTGTTAGTCTGTATCCGCAAAAAAGAAGAACGGGAGGACTTGTGGCACCTTAGAGACTAACAAATTTATTAGAGCATAAGCTTACGTGGACTACAGCCCTCTGCTTCGGATGCATCCGAAG